GCTCTGTGGCTAAGTCGATGCGAACGCTTCGTAATGCCGGGATGTCGGGTTCGATTCCAGCTGCGAGCCATGCGCCTTGAGTTGGTTTCGACAGTGGTATCAAGAAAGCCGACCGTACAGTAAGCAATGGCAAACTACTGGACGTAAATTTGCCTAGAAAAACCTCACAACAGCTAGGGGCTGTTTGGGTTAGTTCTGCAACGTCTTGTAAAGGATACGCAACTAACCATTTGGTGGGGTAGAAAGTCAGTCAGTTTGCCAGCAAGCACTAAGTATCTGATTGTGATGGTGTGCACCGGCGTCACAGAGGCCACATGAACTGCCTGGCGTGGGGAAAAGAGCTCAGGTCATCATCATCAATTTGAATTGGTCAAGCTCAACCGCTACCAAGGGAGCTAGCCTTTCCTAGATAACATAAGTTATAATTCTGGCTCCTGCCCATGCTCTGATTTCATTTTGCTTTTATTCGTGCTGTAAGAGCTTAAGTTGTGAACACCGGCTGAGGATAGTAATCAACCGAACTCCTAGGGGACGGTCTGGACAACTACAGTCTGGACAACTACAGTCTGGACAACTACAGTCTGGCCATACCATATGTGTGTATAGAGGTGGTAGTTATAGTACCAGTTTAGATAGTAGTGAGGACATTTGTGTAAGTGCAGTAACTGCGACAGTTATAATACAACTGGATGATGCTGAAAGAACTATGTCGTTGTTTATCATATTTTTCAACTTGAACGTTGTCCCGAGATAGCCTGTTGTTGTGGAGTCTGTGATCAAGAGAGTCTGAGAAGTCACGGCAGAATATTATACCTTCGCCCGGCTTAGTAGTGCAGATCACCATACCATCACATCATAATAAGAGGCCAAAGAAAGATCAAACCTAACTGGCTGCCAGAGAGGAGAAAGTATGTCAGAGCAGCTGAGACAACCTTGTTTATACACTCGTGCTCTGACCTGGTACCCGCCTCTTAACCACTGTGAGACAGACAACTCACTTTTACAGGCGAGACGCCAGGGTCTTCGTTATACTGTGTATTATTCAATGTGGTTTGGTCTCTCCGCGAGGCTTAGCATTACACAAAGCACCTAACATCATAACTCTATTTATAACGCCAGGAAATTACCGAGACACCTTCGCATATGCACGAAAGGACGGAATCAGAAACTGAACCTAACAACTTTCGTGTGTGAGGTGAACTTTTAATAACATCGCCACAAGACTAATTGGTTCTTAATTTATAACATACCCCAAACACGAAATCCCCGTGGGAAATCCACAGCTGACCTGACAGTTCATTATTTAAAGGGGTGGAAGTGTGCTGTTGTGTGTGTGTGTGTGTGTGTGTGTTTTTTTTTTTTTTTTTTGAGTGTTTATGTTGTGTCTTATAATCCTAACCCTAACCCTAACCCTAACCCTAAACTTGGGTGTAGATAAATGACGAGAAACTACAACCTGAACACCCTAGAATTTATTGGGAATGTCTCCCGTGACGTTGTCGTGACGTCAGGGGTAAGTTAAAAATTAAGTACCGACTAATTTGGCTATAAGTAAGAATGTGACTGATAAGTCCTGAAAAGATCTTGAGGATGTAGCCATCAAAATGTCTACTTTGCTTGCCGTGAGATTTCTGCTGCCTCTCTCGTTATCTGTACCGAGAAGTGTACTCTATATGTGGCATCGATTTCATATATGCATATGTATATATATATATATATATATATATATATATATATATATATATATGTGTGTGTGTGTGTGTGTGTGTGTGTGTGTGTGTGTGTGTGTGTGTGTTGTCTATCAAGATGATGATGACCACTCTTTTTCATCAAGTATGAGTACGAAGATGACCGATGATGCCGATGCGGGCCCGAAAAGTTCTTGGACAGTGAGGACAGGGAATGACCGTTGTGCCAGGGAGGGGATCTCCTGCAATCGCCTTTCTGTCCATCCTTTTCTTAAAAAGTTTTGCTGTTCTGTTTGTTTCACATGTCGCCGTGCCCTTGTGTAGAGCTGCACGCCATGCATTTCGGTCTTGAGAGGCAGCCTCCCAATTGGTGTCATTCATCCCAAATGCTTTGAGTGAAGACTTCATGGTATCCTTAAAGCGTTTCTTTTGCCCGCATTGGGGACGTTTCCCATTTTGCAGCTCACCATAGAAGAGTTTTTTTTTTTTCTTTTTTGGAGCCTGTGATCTGGCATGCGTGCCACATGACCAGCCCAACGAATCTGATACTGCATCAGTAGAGTGTGGATGCTGTGCATGTCTACTTTCTCAAGAACTACGGTATCTGATACTTTGTCTCGCCATCTGATATGCATTAGTTTTCTTAGGCAGACTGTGTGAAAGTGGTTTAACTTTCTGGCCTGGCGCTGGTATACAGTCCATGTTTCGCATGCGTGCAGCAGTGTAGTTAATACAACTGCTCTGTATACTTTAAGCTTTGACTGCAGGGTTATGCCACTTCTGTTCCAAACATTTTTTTACAATCTGCCAAGGGCAACGCTAGCCCTAGAGATCCTTGCATTTGCTTCGTCATCAATTGTGGCGCTCTGTGAAAGGGTGCTGCCTAGATGAGTAAATTTACTGACAACGTTTAAACTGTAGCCATTCACTGCATCTTTGCCCTATGGCTGGCTGGTGCATGGCTAGAGTTTTATCTTTTTTAATGGTGAGCTCAAAGTTTGTACAGGCATCACTGAATTTTTCAATGTTGTGCTACATATCTGCTTCTGTGTTGGCATAAAGGGCACAATCGTCGGCAAACAGGAGCTCCCTGATGGTGTCTGACTTAGTTTTTCTTTTTGCTTTCAGCCTCCTGAGGTTAAACAGCTTTCCACCCATGCGGTAATTTATGTTGATTCCAGTGTGATATTTACAACGGCATCAGTCAGCATGGCTGAAAATAACAGACTGAACAGTGACGGTGCAAGCATGCAGCCTTGTTTGACTCCATTTGTGACAGGAAAGGACTCTGACAGTTCGCCGTTATCCTGCACTTTTGCTTGCATGCCATCAGGAAACTCAAGCACTATCTGGATGAACTTGTGTGGGCATCCAAATTTCTCCATAATCCTCCACAGCCCATCTCGATTTACTGAGTCAAACGCTTTCGAAAGATCAATAAAGGTGGAAAACATGTTCGAATTTTGTTCTTGACATTTCTCTTGCAGCTGCCTAGCAGCGAAAATCATATCAACAGTTCCACGATCTTTTCTAAAACCACATTGACTTTCAGGAAGGAGACCTCTGCCGAGATGAGCCGTAAGACGACCCAGGAAAATCCTGGCAAGAATCTTTCCTGCAACTGAAAGCAGTGAGATACCTCGGTGATTATCACAGGAATGACGGTTTCCTTTAAATTTGTAAAGGTGAATTATTACAACGTCCTTAAGATCCTGTGGAATGGTCTAACTCTCCCAAATTCTTTGAAATATCTTGTGTAACTGCTCAGTCAGAACTGGACCATCCACTTTGAAGACTTCAGCTGGAATAGCATATGGACCAGGCGCCTTTCCATTGAAAAGAAGATAGATAGCTTTTATGGTTTCTTCTGTTGTGTATGTATGTATGTATGTATGTATGTATGTATGTATGTATGTATGTATGTATGTATGTATGTATGTATGTATGTATGTATGTATGTATGTATGTATGTGTGTGTGTGTATGTGTGTATGTGTGTGTGTATGTGTGTGTGTATGTATGTGTGTGTATGTGTGTATGTATGTATGTATGTATGTATGTATGTATGTATGTATGTATGTATGTATGTATGTATGTATGTATGTATGTATGTATGTATGTATGTATGTATGTATGTATGTATGTATGATGTATGTATGTATGTATGTATGTATGTATGTATGTATGTATGTATGTATGTATGTATGTATGTATGTATGTATGTATGTATGATGTATGTATGTATGTATATGTATGTATGTATGTATGTATGTATGTATGTATGTATGTATGTATGTATGTATGTATGTAGTATGTATGTATGTATGTATGTATGGTATGTATGTATGTATGTATGTATGTATGTATGTATGTATGTATGTATGTATGTATGTATGTATGTATGTATGTATGTATGGATGTATGTATGTATGTATGTATGTATGTATGTATGATGTATGTATGTATGTATGTATGTATGTATGTATGTATGTATGTATGTATGTATGTATGTATGTATGTATGTATGTATGTATGTATGTATGTATGTAGTATGTAGTATGTATGTATGTATGTATGTATGTATGTATGTATGTATGTATGTATGTATGTATGTCTGTATGTATGTATGTATGTATGTATGTATGTATGTATGTATGTATGTATGTATGTATGTATGTATGTATGTATGTATGGTATGTATGTATGTATGTATGTATGTATGTATGTATGTATGTATGTATGTATGTATGTATGTATGTATGTATGTATGTATGTATGTATGTATGTATGTATGTATGTATGTATGTATGTAGTATGTATGTATGTATGTATGTATGTATGTATGTATGTATGTATGTATGTATGTATGTATGTATGTATGTATGTATGTATGTATGATATGTATGTTATGTATGTATGTATGTATGTATGTATGTATGTATGTATGTATGTATGTATGTATGTATGTATGTATGTATGTATGTATGTATGTATGTATGTATGTATGTATGTATGTATGTATGTATGTATGTATGTATGTATGTATGTATGTATGTATGTATGTATGTATGTATGTATGTATGTATGTATGTATGTATATGTATGTATGTATGTATGTATGTATGTATGTATGTATGTATGTATGTATGTATGTATGCATGCATGCTAGTCAAATCTTCAAGCTCTTTAAACGAGGGGGATCTAGTAAAAGTAGGTAGAGGGATTCAGCGTGGTCATGCCCACAGAAAAATTGTTTCTATTTTATCAGTAAGTTAATTGTTTATATGTGTATTTGATATATTTCTATCTTCAGGTTCTTGCAAGAGGAAGTTGGAGTGTCCTTTCGGCTTCATACGATTCAAAGGCGTTTGCTACTGGTTCATCATGGGGGATTACGAAGTTAGAGACTGGTGGCGGGCTCGGAATATCTGCAGAAACCATGGCGGAAACCTGGTCACAGTCAACGACAAGCGTCGGGAAGTCTTCATTCATAATTACCTCAAAGCAAATTTTCAAAATATAGGTAAACTGTTATTTTAGTTGTGCTCTTGATCCTCTTATAGTCCATGACGTCTGGCGTTAGTAGTCTCGTCTGTCTATCCATAAGTTTCCTTCTGGTGTACTTTCATTTAATTCTGACATACATGATCGTCCATTGTCCATGATGTCAAGCTTTCTAGCGTCTTCTCTCTCGGACTGCCTTTGCCTTTCCTCTTCTCGAGCATTTCCACCGTCACGATATACTCCAGTTTTGTCCATATCATAACATGACAAAGAATCTAGATTGTCTCCTGTTTTCTCGACACCCAGTGTTTTTCACCAGGCTATTTCAAGTACACTTTGGCAAGATTAGCTCTTTGGTGAATGGCATATCGAAAAGGGAGCCGTGGACGACCTAAGAAAAGCTGAAGAAGTACAGTAGAAATGGAAATGAAGGAGTACAAAATAGTATGTGATACCATATGCAGAAAAGCAGAAAACCGACATCAGTTGAAATCACTTGTGAACACTTTATGTGCCAACAGCTACATGAACAGTACATGTAGATTTCAAGTAGACGTTATAACTAAAGTCTGGAGCATCGACTTCGTTGCACCAAGTTTTTTTCCTATTTCGCTCGGTCTGTCTTCGCAGAACGGAGAGCCGCCTGCCAAGAGGGTTTCAGAACGTACGAACTCCATAGCTTCAGCTACGATCCCCAGGAATGTGTGTGAAAATTGCACTTATGAACCGAACAGCACATCCGTAGAATGAACGTTCGACCTTCAGAGCACCAGGAAGACGACTTAACCACTATGCCACAGAGCATCCCACTCCCACGCTCAAGGTACAAGTGAATGACCTTTTTTCACAAAGGAAGTGTTTGGGTATATGCTGCCAGTATAGACCGGTGAACTTTGTTTTTAAACAAGCTATCTTTGCTGCTTGAATGTTCCACTTTTTTAGAGTGATGTAGGAAAGGAAAGAGGAATGTGATCTCTTGCCTGGTGGTTTACGGCCACCTGACTAGTATATTCGTCCCGAGCTGTGAAGATGAAGATATTTAATTGTTGCCACCTATAGAAAAATGTAAACTATGAAGTAAAATTAGCCTGGACTGCCCATGGGCACCAGCAAAGTAAAAATCCTCTTTGTCTTTGTCATGCATGACAGCCACTATTCTCCTCGCTTGCCGTACACTCTTGTAGCTGCAGAGTTTATTCTTGTTCTGTCCAGCTCACTGAAACAAAGTCTGGTATAGAGTCTACTAGACTTCTCCAGATTCTCAAATATAAGTATCCTACCACTCTCACCGGGAGTCCCCGTGGCGGAGCGGCTAGACGCTTGCCGCGGATCGGAAGGTCGTGAGTTCGCTCCCTGGAGGAGCTGGACTTTTTTCAAAAATGACCTTGGCTCCCAGGTCGACCCAGCCTTGAGTGGGTACCGGGTGCAGTCCTGGGAAGTAGATCTGCCGGAGTGATGCTGACCACATCACCCATCTTGTGCCGATTGGTCTATAAAAATATAGGTCTAGCCCTATATGCCCTATACGCCTAAAGGCGTGGAAAAGGGTCCTTTACTTTTTTTTTACCCCTCTCACCATCATTAAAAACCACAGTAGCACCATAAACTGCAAGAGTTCGTCTAGGCCTCCCAACAAAACCAGTCTTTGGGCATCTTTGCAAATGGAATTATGAAAACTCTCATTTGTATTTTGTGTCCCTCCATGTGCACACTTTGACAGTAAGGTCTCACTGGTGAGTGTTTCAAAGACAGGTCTGATGGCCTAACACACACAGCGAGGGAAAGCATTTCTGTCGGGATCTGCTGCAGACTGATTCTTAGAATGGCACCAATCTCCACAGTTGATGTGATCACGGTTTTTGTGCTTCAATATGGCCCAGATTTCTTTTCGCATCCGAGGCACATTGGTAGTGTTTCTTCGTGTTGCAGCACCGTTGTGTACTTCAATCTTTAGAATTGTCTTTTTCGTCAGACAATCACTCGCACCAATTCCCCGAACACTCTTGCCATTGTGCATAAAGGTCTGCTTCTACGTCTCATTTATCTTATTAGTAAGGTGTCGCCCTATTCTGTTCTGCGCATGCCCACAACATTCTAGTTTTGTGATATTCATATCGGTATAAAAAAGTAGTTCTGCATTTGCAACTGATCTGTATGATTGACTGTCTCAGTCTCCAAGAAATGAAATACAGCTCAGACCATACAACTGCTCACTTCGCCTGAACATTTCCAATGCTCCAGTTGTCTCCATGCTACCTCTGGATCCACTGTGATTCTTATCACAGGTCTGGACATATAAAAGCTTCCATGCCTGGAACTTGGCCTCAGTTTTAATATTCTTTTGTTTTGCACAAGGGTTTCAATAATTACTGCAGTGTCAAGAACGTTTGAGTTAGGCTCATCCACGGTGAGAAGAGTGGCCACGCTATGTTTGCTCTGGACACCCTTCTCTGCTATGTGCCATTACAGAATACTGGTATGGCTTCTGCTTTCTTTTCCCTGATCTTAAAAAAAAAAAAGTAAAATTGTTTTCTCTGTATTTTCTTTGATTCCCTTCCTTTCTTCTCTCCTTACCGTTGACCGTTGTAAACTCCGGCCGAAAGTTCTGGCTGTCTGGTCTTATTCCTGAACTTGAGTTTATCCTGCCATCCGTTTTACAGATTTTACTTTCTTGTTTGCAGATTGTTGGTTCCTCCTTTCCCATGCAGGAAAACTCTAAATTCGAAGGAAACACCCCTTATTAGTCGCCTCTCACAACATGCTTGTGAGAAGGCAATGGATCAGTTCCTTTCTCCCCAAAATGGGGCTCTAAAACCCACACAAAGAGTTTTTTTTACTGAAAATTCAAAAATAGATTACAGTGGACTGAATTTATCGCCATTATGGTCATTTCGATATATATATAAACAATAAAAGACGAATTCTGAGTTAATTAACATAAACAAAAGTTTAGTCCCAGCGGGAACGCATCATTCATAATACATCAATCAGTCCCTGGATGTGTGTACGTGTGTGTGTGTGTTTTGTGTGTTTTTGTGCGCGCGCATACGTTGGTGCCTGTGTGTGTGTGTGTGTTTACTTCCCAGGACTTTGCCTGCTACCTTTTCAAGGCTGGGTCGACCTTGAAGCCAAAGTCAATTATGCCAAAGAAGTCCGGTTCCGCTCACATTCGAACCCACGACTTTCGGATCCGCAGGCGAGAGATTCTATACACTATATAGACAGAAATGCACATTGATCTAACTGAATCTTCTTTTTCTTCTTCTTCTTCTTCTTCTGTCTTTCTAACCCCCAATGGAGCATAAAACCTCAACCAAGTAGCTCTGTCCTTCGGTATCGCACATTACTCTCCCCATGTCCTCCCCATCTGTTTAATTTCACTCTCTAGTTTCTTTCTCGGTTTTTTTTTTTTCTTCTTCCCTTATTTATATACCCCTGTCGCCCGGCTCTCTAGTGTAGTTGGTTAAACCTGGCTTTCGAGGTGGCCGGGTGACGAACTCCTTGTGGTCCGGGTTCTCTCCCGGGGGTAGGCAGAAAAGCCACATTTCTCCCAGATTTACGGTACCTACAATGGAATCAAGGCCGAAGGGTTGCGATATCCATAGTACCGAGCCAAAGGGTTTACAACTCATGGTTTCTGGATACTTTAAAAAAAATATGCCCCTGTGGGGGATATAACGGATTAGACAACTCGATTTAATAGGATCATGAATGAATGCATCAGTGAATGAATGAATGAATAATCGTCTCCCTTATGTTTATTTGCAGGCAGCCCTGTCAAGATATTTACTGGACTCATCTACACCGACGACGAAGCAGAAAATCCGTACGTCGTCCTCCATCGCGAGTCAAGTGCAGTGGGTAATCAAGTGCGATGGTCCAGCAACAAGGAATTCGTCAACTGGCCAGTCAACGTAACTACACCTATAGGTAATCGCGCCAAGTGGTCACCAGATATCCAAGGCGAGGTACACGGCCCTGGCAGTCAATTATATTTGTCCTGTGTAGTCCTTATCTGGGATCCTCGGGCCAGAAGCAAACTGACCTGGCGATTCAACGATTGTGGGGAGAAAAACTTGACTCTTATCTGCGAGGTCAGGCTTGGAGAACCTAAGTCTGCCAGGCTCCAAACGCTCACCCTCCTCGCACTACAGTGAAATATTTGGTTTAGTCGACCACAAGGACGCCAGAACTTTAAACGAAGATAAGGAGTTTATTGATTTTGATGACGAAGATGACGATGGCGATGACGATGATGAATTGTAACATTGTCGCTACTTCCAGCAACTATGGAAGGGCTTTTAAAAACACTTTCTCCATGGTGATGACTCCGTTAAATAAACCATCAACTTACAACAATGTAGTCGCCGTAGTTTAGCGGCAAGACGATCATCTGCTGATCCAAAGTTCATGGGTTTAAATCCCCACTGGCCGAAATATTTTCAAGTATGACCTAGGCTCCCAAGTCGACCCAGGCTTAAATTGTTATAGGTAAAGTCCTGAGAAGTAAAGGCGGCTGGAGTGATGTTGATCATATCACCCATCGAGGATCATTTGGTCCATACAAAAATGAGGTTTGGTCTCAAATGCCGGATGCGACAAAGGCGGGTAACGGGATATCAACTTTTACTTTACTTATTCAACAATGTATTTCAAGTGACGTTCGAAACAGAAAGTGTAACATTCAGACAGAGGAGTGTTTGTTTTCATCCAACAACATTGAATTATAACCGGTTACAAACATTCAAACAGAGGAGTGTTTGTTTTCATCCAACGCAGCTGAATTATAACCGGTTACAAACATTCAAACAGAGGAGTGTTTGTTTTCATCCAACAACATTGAATTATAACCGGTTACAAACATTCAAACTGAGGAGTGTTTGTTTTCATCCAACAACATTGAATTATAACCGGTTACAAACATTCAAACAGAGGAGTGTTTGTTTTCATCCAACAACATTGAATTATAACCGGTTACAAACATTCAAACAGAGGAGTGTTTGTTTTCATCCAACAACATTGAATTATAACCGGTTACAAACATTCAAACAGAGGAGTGTTTGTTTTCCATCCAACAAATATTATAACCGGTTACAAACATTCAAACACAGGAGTGTTTGTTTTCATCCAACAACATTGAATTATAACCGGTTACAAACATTCAAACAGAGGAGTGTTTGTTTTCATCCAACAACATTGAATTATGACCGGTTACAAACATTCAGACAGAGGAGTGTTTGTTTTCATCCAGCAACATTGAATTATAACCGGTTACAAACATTCAAACTGAGGTGTGTGTTTTTAAACAATGATGTTAAAAAATAACCGGTTACAAACATTCAAACAGAGGAGTGTTTGTTTTCATCCAACAACATTGAATTATAACCGGTTACAAACATTCAAACAGAGGAGTGTTTGTTTTCATCCAACAACATTGAATTATAACCGGTTGCAAACATTCAAACTGAGGTGTGTGTTTTTAAACAATGATGTTTAAAAATAACCGGTTACAAACATTCAGACAGAGGAGTGTTTGTTTTTACACAACCATGTTGAAATATAACCGGTTGCACACATTCAAACAAAAGTGTGTTTGTTTTCAGACAATGATATTGAAATATAACCGGTTGCAAGCATTCAAACGGATGAGTGTTTGTTTTCTGCAGCTATGTTGAAATAAAGCCGGTTGAAAACATGCAAACAAAGGAGCGTATGTTCTTAAAGAGTTATGCCGAAATATAATCCCTTGCAACATTCAGGAAAACCTACAATCTTGTATAGTAATGTTGAAATATAATTATTCGTTGCAACATTCAAAGAACCTATATTTTATACAATTGTATCTAAATATAATCCGCTCCAACATTCAAATGAACTTACGTTCTTTTACAATTACGTTGAAAAATGATCTGCTCCAACATTCAAACGAACTCAAGTTCTTGTACAAAAATGTTGAAATATAACCCGTTCCAACATTCAAAGAAGCATACGTTTTTGTATAAAAATGTTTAACTATAATCCAACACTAAAAGATATCTACGTTCCTGTACAGTGATGTTAAGATACGTATAATCATGTATGTATGCATGTATGTATATTTGAATATATGTATTGGCTATCCATGCCTTTGTATTTTTAATCTGACATTCATATTATCTATTTTTGTAAATGAACATACCATGCTTTGTAGATAAAAATAAAACTGATGGGAAAGAATAGTGCCTGGAAAGGTCGAATCTAAGATGGGACTACGTGCCGAATTTGTGACCCTTGAAACAAAAAACAGTTTCGTTGGTTCCTTTGATTAATCGCAGCAGGCTAGCCAATGTACTTTACCTCGCACATTTACCACATGAAATATAATAAAATTTATTCATACCAACGAAACCAGTGGAAACAGTGCTTGCTTGCAGCTACGATGATCATCAAGTGGAAACAGTTATGAACAGCTTCAAATGAACCAGTTCTATGGGATGGATAAATTACCGAGTTCACGCAAAGTGGCACTTTATTTGCTCCAATCCCTTTGCCATGTGTAATATATATGCGCTTACCTATGCCAGTAAATTAATTTTACTTTGTTTGCACGTGGGCTAGTTGTTGCGAAAACTCTTTGTAATCAGACATATCCGCAGCAAACCAATTTGCGTTGATTTCGACAATGGCGTCAGAGACCGGCCATTTAGTTAGTAATGACTAACTGTTGAACGTAAATTCCCAAGTAAAACTAAACAGCGCCTAAAAAAACATTTTTGCGGTTGGTTCTGCAACATTCTATAAAGGACAAGAGGTTTACTCTAGCGTAGTGAATTTTCCAAGCAGTAGACCTGGGTTCGAATCCTCGGTAAGGCTGCGATTTTTTTCTGTCGGGGACAAAATAAAACGCTTACCTGCACAGTCGTGGCGACAGCACTAGCTATGCGGCTGTAAATTTTTAGGCTAAGATCGCCATGCCAACACCTCAAAAGTTGTATTATAAAGGCATTAATTATTCACAGAAGTCATCTGCCTTTATGTTTACTATTCAAAAGAGACACACTCTCACATGAGAGTCAAAGGTGAAGCATTAAATTGTTCTCGGTAGAAATATCTTCTAAATAGCTGTGTCTTCCTCTTCTTCTTCTTGTTCTTCGTTCGCCCTTAGAAGCGCGGTTTTCATGTTGTGTTGCCGTTTACAGCTAGGCTGTGATATTTGCGCTTTTGGCACCAACACATTTTATTTCAGCAAGCCCTTATTTAATCGTCTTTTATCACATACTTTTTAGAGAGCAGTGAGTCTTTTCTTCTTTTCCCTAGAAATGGCTCTGCGACACCTACACAAAAATCGTTGTCATTGAATTGTTTACAGTAGAATTATCTTCATCGTTGAATCTAAAATGGCTGCGGTATTTGAATCTTTTGGCTCAACATATCAAGTTTCAGATAATCCTTATTAATCGCCTTTTGAAGACATGCTTATTAGGGCGCAGTGGGTCTATCCCACCCCCAACCCCCCACCCCCACCCTGAACCCAAACTCCAATAGGCCCGCTGAATATGGTCGTTTCAAGGTACAAGTTAAAACGCTGGCTTGAAGCAACTGGAAACGTTTGCATCTTTTTGAAGAAAACATCGTTTGGGGCTCGCCATGTGCATTTGTTACAGAACACATTATTTACTTGCACTGAAACACAAAGAGAAAACAGGTTGTAAATTCCACGTGTTTAAAACATGAGCTCCACGTGTTTTAAACTATCTCCCATATTTTCACACTTGAAACTACGGCAACGGATTTTTAAAAAAATGCAAATTTGTTTGTTGTTATGTTCTCTTAACGCCATAAAAGTATTTAAATAATTTTGATCCCTGTCTGGGTTCTGGGGCCCCACATTTGGGGAACAAGAACAGACCCACTGCCTCCCGAACAAGCATGTCGTAAGAGTCGACTAACTGGATGCTTCCTTCAAAGTCGGAGTGCATCTGCCTGAGAGACAAGTAGCCAGCAATCTACATTCACATAAGTCCCATCTGTAAAGCGGATGTCCACGCAACACTCAGAATATAGAACAAGCATAAAGTCCAGAGGTGGATAAAGAACCAGAACTTTCTGTTGGAGTTTACAGCCGGTGAACGCGAAGAAAAAAGAAAGAAGAAATACTTGTGTATGCCTTCCTCTGTATAGAATAGGCCACTGTGATCGCTGTCTTTCAATTGTTGTGTACTTAGTCTTCAGTCGTATGCGAATGGTTAGTTTCCATGCCGTTATCGACTGGTGGTGAAGTATTATCAGCGAGGTGGTCCTTTACAAAACGTCACTCCCGTCACGATACGCCTGAAAGTCTATTTTTCTAGTCATCTCACCATCCTTATGTACTTTTATGGCCCATCCATCTTCGATGTCTTGTCTTGTATCCAGCTTGCGGAGATGTGAAACTTTACCCCCCATCACCGTTGTATTCTGACCATTATGACGTTTACACGTGGCCCAAATACCTCAGCTTTGGGACAGAATGCTGTTTATGAGCCAATTCTCCTCCATGCGCAGATCACGAGTATGTCAGTACGCTTCTTCATCTTGGCTCATTTTATCCTAAGAATTGTTCTGTAGCATTTCGGTTCAAAAGTTTCGATGCCTTTCCTCAGTGATTAGGCAAGAGTGGTGAATATTTGTAGCACAAAACGTTTGAGCTATGTAACCCGACTTACCTACGATGTGTATGTTGAATTACTGTGACAGTTAAAGACTGGCTACGAATTGCATACTTTTTTTAAATTAATATGCAATTTCCTAAATAATACAAAACAAGGACATCAAAAAAGGTGAAAAGGTAAAGTCGGGAGATGTGAACCAGGGTCATTGCACACGGTTTATAAACCATAAGTGCTCTGCCACCAATACGGACAGCTGATAAGAATTGACCGCCTGTGTCGCCGTTCGCACGTTCCTCAATTTACCCCAGAGTGTCAACTTTGGTACCCATTTCCTAGAGGCTGGGTGAACCCCAGGTACCTCCCGGTTTCGAACACCGACTGTGGCTGCAGCGAGTCGCAGCTGGATTTGAAAGCGAGTCTCTTATCGACTGCACTAACGCGGCCCCTAAGGACATCATGAAAGGCTCATGTTGTTTCGAATATCAAGATGCTGGATACAATTTGGCTTATATACTTTTCGTTCGGGT